TTGGTGTTTACTTACTGGAGGATGGATCTGAGGTGAAATATGTAAACATAATCCGTCGCATACCAGGCAGCCTCCATAGACAGAATATGAAGACATTTGCAGCTATAATACCTAGTAAGAAGACAAACAGTATGGAAACAGATTATGAATATAACATGCTGTAATACTGTAATCAAAAGTAGGCTCCTAGTAACCATATTTCTCCCCTCACTATTTCTTACTTTTAGAAAAAGCAGCAAGAAATACAGAAAGTTCTACTTACAAACCTTGTAAACAGAACACACAACTTCAGCTGGCTTATATTAACATAGAGTTTAACAAATGCAATGATGCAGAAAATCTGTAATGAAGACACTCACTCAGCACACCTCCATTGCGCTGTAGAATCAATGAATGAAGAACCAGCTGTTTCTTGCCTCTCTAGCTACTTCTTTCCAAATACCACCAACAGGCTGACAGATGCATTCAACCATGCATGGAGAGAAGGCTACAGGAACCATATCGATAATGCATGGTAACTGTTGAGTCATGGCCTGAACCACTGATTGAGCACCTGGGGAAAGGACCCAGAAAGCCCTGGGGAGCACAGGTGAAGGCAATGCAGCTGTGGGACAGGAAGGGGGGGGGGGGTGCCTGGCTGCACCTCTCTTAGACCTCATTTAAGGGCTGACCCCCATTGGGGGAAGATCCCTCGTTGTATGTTCCTCTCTTGTAGAGACCTTCCTCTGAGCCTAGATGTTCAAAGACAGGTGAACACTTTTCATTTTCCTTTGAAACACCATTCCATCTGCACTAGTTCCTTTGCTGTTATACTCATTTTGCTGCATTAATCTTTCCAATTGTAACAAACGTGCAGTACATGTTCTTTCCACTTCATAGGGGCGTATGATTTTGAAGGAATTGTAATGATATGGTTAGGCATCAGGTTTAAAAAGTTGACTTGGTATTGCTAAGGTACAGTCATCTTTGTGAGATAGCAAACGTACAACTTTTTACTTCTCAGATGTTTACTGTGATCTTATTTAAGAACATGAATGATTAAAAACAATAATGAAGCAAACTTATTGTTTCTTATTTAGCGTACTTTCTCTATTACTATTGAAGCACATTGGCTTTACTGTTCTGAAATTGTTGATAGTTCTGTAACATCCCCATGCGGCATACAAGGAATTGTGTTTCCTCTAGTAAGAAAGCCTGTCTTGCTACAGCAAATACCTAAATGGCTGACCAGCTAGAACATAACATGTCAGACTATCTAAGTGATGATACATCCACTGATGAAATAATAAAACAAATACACGGTATTCCTCTTTGTGGTGGCAAACAGTTATGTTACTTAACAGACTACGTAACTCCAGCCAACTTCAGTTGGATGAGAAAGCCCCACAGTTTAGGGGCATCTTATGTCTACCTAGTATTCAAAATAACACAGAATTGCACAAAGAAAGAGAAAAGCACAGAATTAGCTCATACTCCTAAAAGTATTTGCTGTTTCTCACAGTTTCTTAGAGAAACACTGCGGGGGAGGATTCTAGCTAACTCTTCATAATTTACTCACAGAGATGCAATATTTTTATGCACATAAAATATATTGTGAGAAGGAACTGTAGCAGAAATAGTGTAAGTGCAAGCGTAAGTTCACACATGCTTGGTGCCTAACAACCTAAATGCAGTGAGAAAGCCATCTGTTTCAACATACTGTACCTGTTTGCCATATTTCTCTTCCTGTCAATGTCTAATACTTGTAAGCTAACACAAACCTGTCACAGTCCGCTGACCCTCAGTCAGGTTATTCCACCAGCTGTTAACCTGAAACAGAGTTGGCATTTATCAGTGTTGCTGCAGAGCATTTGCAATTTCAAAAACAGCCACACAAGTTTATGAATGGAAGGTATATGTTTGAAAGTTGTCTAGTAAATCAGTTGCAGATTTCTGGACTTCTTACTGGTTCAGCTATTCAAGTTGGCATTTCCTTACTAAAGTGTCGTTACCTATCCTTCCTGACAAATCTACAGGTAGATTAAGAACCTTTTCAAAAAAGAGAACAGGGTAATTCACTTTGCACAACTCCACAGGTTACCTCTGCCTGTACTGAAGGAGGATCTAGTCCATAATGCTTGCTTTAGCAGATGAGCCAAAGTTAGCATAAATCCAGCCCTAAGCCTCACTCTAATGCTAACAACACACCACCCACCTTTCAGAGATTCCACTTTTGTGCCAGGGTCACTTTTGCAGAGGTGGCTCACAAGATGTGGATACCATTCCCCCTTGTGTCCAGCTCACCCAGCCCTCCTTCAAGTTTAAAACCCCTGAAAAAGTTTATTTTGAGTGCAGTCAGGCCACACACAAATTCCACCCCCTTTTCCCTTTTTGAGCTTTCAGAATGACTTTGGACAAATATTTAACTGCTCAATGACTTCCCGACTGTATTAATGAGTACATAGTCAGATAAATCAGCTACAGGCTGGGAAGCAGGTGCAATAATGCTATTAAACTATTTTCTATCTGATACCAGAGTTACAGCATTGTGGTTTTGGTGTAATGCTCTGGCCCAGGACACAGATGACACTAGTACATCCAACCAACTCCTCTGGTTTGAAGACACTAGACTAACATCACTCTGTTATAATAGTAGAAGTAGAATGCACTCGGAATTTATTGGGAGAACCCAAATCTTTGATAGTAGAAGTCACCTACTGAGGAGAGGGGTTGGGAATTCAAACCTATGAATAGGGTAGTTTTGTTTTACTTCTAGAAAGCTAATTAGCAGGTCTTCCCCCCCTGATTTTGAAGGAAAACAAAAGCATAAAGCTGAAATGATTTAAGACAAAGGTGTATGCGCTGAGCAGACTGTCCCCAGTGGGTGCTTTTCACTGTGCACCACAACATGCACAGTGCATGTGGCAAAACTGGCACTGCTAAATGCCATCCAGGAGCCTGTGCTGCTCCAGCACACGCAGCCCTGCCTCCCACAGAAAGGAGAATGAGTGAGCAGGCGTGGGCTGCCAGCAGCCACAGCAGGGACCTCAGCACATACTGGTGTTATTTTAGATTTAACTGCACCTAACTGAAAATAAAAGGGGCTGGTAACTTTTGGGATGCATGAGTATTGCACTACTTATGCTGCTGTTTACAGCCCAATTCCAAAGTGATGCACGTGGAAGAGTAAGCTTTCTTTACAAACACCTCCTCCTTGTAGAGTAGCATTAAGAATATCAATGCAATTCAGGAGCCAGAAGATTAAACAACTCATGTTTAAGGTTCAGAACGTGAGCCAGCTCTGTCATCTTCGGGAGCTGACGCCTGAATGCTTAGGAATGACAGCTGTTACGGGTTTCCAGCGCCGAAGAAGCAGAATGTACCTACGTTAGGTATTTACAAGCTACTACCGCGGCTCTCTTCTCCCTTTGCCGGCCCCGCGGCCCCGCACCTGCTTCCTGAAGCTCCCCCTCTTCTGCGGCCGAATCTTATCCAGCCAGTCGGCCCGCGCCTCCTCGAAGTAGCTCTGGACCCGGGACTTGAGCGCCTCGTACTGCCAGATGGCCGCCGTGCCGAAGGCCGTGCCTGTGAACTGTGCCAGCGGTCAGCGAGCGGGGCCCCGCGCCCGGTCCCTCCCCCGGCCGCCACTCACCCCCACCGCGAAGAGCAGCGGCTTCACCAGGCGGCGCGGCGAGGGGCGGCCCCCGCGGGCGGGCGGCGGCGGGCACAGGCTGCGGCGGGGCGGCGGCGGCGCGGGCCGCGCCTCGGCGCTGCCGGCGGGGGTCTGGGGCTCCTCGCTCCGCGGCCGTACCCGCCGGAAGCCCCGCCGCTGCTCCAGCAGCACCGTCAGCCTGCGGGGAGAGAGCGGACAGTCACCGGACCGCCCCGCCGCCGCCGCCGCCCGCCCCGCCCGGCCGTACCTATGCGCCCGCGGGTCCCAGGCGCGGGCCCAGCACCGCCACGCCATGTCGGGCGCCTCCCCGCGCCGAGCGCTTCCGGGGCGGCCGCCGCCATCTTGGGGGCGTGGCGCCCGGCCCGCCCCGCCGCCATGTTGGGAAGGTCGGCCCCGGCCGCCATGATGGGTGCGGCGGCCCCTCCCGGCGTGCCCGGGCGCTACGGTCTGTGCACGTGGCGTCCGCGCTCCGTTTTTCTAACAAAATCTCTCTTTTTTTTTAAATTTAAAGTTTGTTTTAGCTTTGCGATTCAGAGTATTTCATTACTTTTTTTTTTTGCTCCAGAGACCTTATCAGGAGCGCGCTGTGGCTGTCACGCCCCTCTGTTAGCGCCGCCCCGCTCAGTCCGTCTGCAGCCCGGCGGTGTGAGGCGCCCCGCCGCTTCCCGCCCGCGCAGCGTGGCTGTGCTTGTGCTGGCGGGTTTTCTCTCGTGCCTGAGGAGAACAGGCACAGAAAATACGCAGTAGGTCTGCCACGCTTCCAGGGGTTGTCTGCCATCGTGTTCTTTTCTTGTCGGGGTCACTTTCGCACAGTGATCCTGTATTTTTTTTTACCCCTGTTTTTTTTTTGTTTTTTGTTTTTGTCTTGTGGACAGGGAGGTGATTGTTCCCCTCTGCTCTGCTCTTGTGAGGCCCCAGCTGCAGTACTGCGTCCAGGTCTGGAGCCCCCAGTACAAGAAAGACAGGGAGCTGTTGGAGAGGGTCCAGAGGAGGGCCACAAAGATGATCAGGGGACTGGAGCACCTCCCCTACGAGGACAGGCTGAGGGAGCTGGGCTTGTTCAGCCTGGAGAAAAGAAGGCTGCGGGGTGAATCATTGCTGCCTTTCAGTACCTAAAGGGAGCCTACAAAGAGGAGGGGAATCAACTCTTTGAAAGGGTAGATAACAGCAGGACAAGGGGAAATGGTTTGAAGTTGAGGGAGGGGAGATTTAGGTTGGATGTCAGGGGGAAATTCTTCACAGAGAGAGTGGTGAGGTGCTGGAACAGCTGCCCAGAGAGGCTGTGGATGCCCCGTCCCTGGAGGTGTTCAAGGCCAGGTTGGATGGGGCCCTGGGCAGCCTGGTCTGGTATTAAATGGGGAGGTTGGTGGCCCTGCATGTCATCATGGAAATTGTAATAATATTTTTCTTGGAGACTGTTGATGCATGGGCAGCTCAGTGGCACTGACAAAGCAAATTTTATGCCAGTGATTGCCTGTTTAATCTGGGCACCTTTGATGGCAACTCTCATGATTTTGTTACGATTTTCTTAGTTGAGTTGTCCATTTCACTGAGACGTTGTAGCAAAAAGGTGCATCTGGGCTTTTGTGCAACAGTTGGGCAATGCTTCCGCTGCAGGTCCTTGATTTTTAGAATGGGGGGAAAGGTCCCAAAGAGTACAAAACTTACCTTTCTGTTTGATCAAGCTGATCCACACTGAGTGCTGACATTACTGTCTAGTAGGAAGGTAAATGTGGAGATTAGAAGCATATCATAAACGTAAGTATCAAAATTCATTTCACTTTGAATTTGTATTGATAGGCGTTGTAATCAGGAGACAATTTATGAAAGCATTTGATATCTTTAATTTTAAAAGAAGTTTGAGTTAGCAAACAAGTGAAGAACTGATGACGCATTGCAAATGTGAAATAGAGAATTCCTCATTTTGATCTTCTGGTTTTGTTTTGGTGGTATTTTGTGAAATATGCATGTATGGTAATAAAAGTTTTCCTAAGAAAATACTCAGATGCCATAGAATATTTGACTATCCCAGTTATTTCATGAGATTTAGATATCAGTTCTACATTTTTCTTATACAGTAAATTAGTTGTACGTACATCTTTCTGATGTTTTCCTAAAGGAAAGGTAAATCCATCTTCTGTATGTGTTTCAACAGGTTTATAATACCAGAAATTGTGGGAGGCTTCTTTAAAAACAGCTTCTGTCAGAAGAATGGCTTCATCTTCTCTACAAATATGTTCACTGCTGCTGGCTTTGGCCGGATTCACCGTTTTACTTCTCGCTACCATGTCCAACAGATGGAAAATTTCTGGCACCACAGCAGTGCTGGTCCCTTCAGAGTGGATTTCCGAAGGTCTTTGGATGGACTGTGGAGTCACTGATTTTGGAGCAATACAGTGCATGAAGTTTCTTCACATGTTGAGTTCAGAGAGTAAGTGTGTATACGTATATAAAATCCAGAGATGCATTTTTGTTCTTTCTTTTTGTGCAGCATATTAGTGCAGTTGGACAGCACATACTTAAGGTTGTCACGGAGGTTCTAGTATGGAGAGGATTTGTCCTTCAGCACTTTCAGACAGGCTGAAGGACCCTAGAGAAATCCATATGCTTTGCCCCACCATTCAGCCCAGTATCTGCTGTGCCTTTGTTGCCATATCTGTTTTGGTTTTACTTGTTTTACTTGGTCTTATTCTTAACTGCAGACAGACAGTATGTCAGTGAGTGCTTTAGTGTGAGACAGGACTTGGATATTACACAACTAATTTGACTTTGTGCTAAATCTGTGTGTTCTAGAAATTTTTAGAGGTGGCTAGCTTCAATAAAATATGTCCGTGTGAGTAGCGCTTTTGCGTTTTCTGAGCTAGAATGTGCTGGTGTGGTTTGCAAACAGAATTGTTTTCTTAGGAACTGAAAACGGTTGGTTTGGGATATTCTGGATTTTTAAAATATTTTTCTACAGACACCCTTTTTATGGTAAAAGATTAGGAAGGATTGACAGCCTTCCCCAGAAAACGGAGGTTGGGAATAGTTACGGTATAACCTTGGACAACTGGTGCCTTGGTAAGATTTCTGTCTTGAGCAGAACTTTCCATTTATTTGTTTTCAGCTTTCAGTACTTTGTCACTTATATTACTGAATCATTTCTTAACACGTTCCCTGTTTTGTGGATCCCTAATTATTGCCATCACTGTTTTTCTGGATTCTTTCCAGCTCATCTGTTCTCAATGCACAATGCCCAAACTGGAAGCAGGTCTTACAGATAGCACAGACTATGAAAACTTGCCTTTCCTAACACAGATATGGACTCCACCACAATCAGAACTGCCTAGCAGTGTAAGGCAGATCTCAAAAACGTGGCTGCCTGGAAACTGTCAAAATTCAGGACTTTTGTGATTCTTCCTCAGGCCCCTGAGTACAGTGACCTCATTTGCATTCTTAGTGATAGTTCCAGTTTAAGTATTTAGTGTGTTATATTGAGGCCTGAATTTGTAGCCTCAAAGGAAAGGAAATCATATCCTAAGGATTTAAAAAACTGCTCATTGAGTCAGAGACAATGTCAGCTTTTCCTGCCTTTCTGCTACCCATAGTCAGAGTATTCCTCTCCAAGACTTCCTCTGTGTAGATATCAGTTTGCCCAAAATTCATCTGGAAACTGAGATGTGTTTTCTGGAAAACAGAATGATGGGATGGGAGCAATGGTTCTTCTGCCCCCACGTGGGTAGCAAGCTGTAACAGATGCTTATGACAACATCTCAGTTTTGCCTCGCCTAACAAGCAAGAACAGATGTCTCAGCCCTGTTAGAGAGGCAGGCAGAGTCTATATCAGACAGTCTCTTTGTTTTTATTTTAATGCAGTTTAATTATACTCAAGATGGAAAGAAAATATTCACCAGGAACAGACAGCTTCCTGGTGGATTAAGCAGCCACCTGCCCTGGGGCATGTCTTCCCTCCTCCCTCCCAGAACTTTAGGAGAGGAGTCCTGGCTGGCAGGGCTCAGGGATCACCTTCAGCTGTCACCTAAAAACAGCACAGGGTTCCTCATGCCAGCTGACAGATGTGTTGTGTGGCTGTCTGGAAGAATTACTGCTGTTTGTCACAGGACAGTTTCTCTTCTTACAGTCAGTGGGTAAGTCAGCATTCCTAGCTCTTGAAACAAATATACAGAAGTGATCAAAAAGGTACAAGCTACTGTTGATCAAACATTTAAGGCGTTAATATTTTCAGTTTTTTGTTTTCTTTTTCTGTACTGGTTGATCTGATATTAAAAAAAAAAAAAGACAATTTCTGCCTGTAGATGCTATCTCAATCATATTGCATGCTAATGTGCCCTGTTATAAGAACGTTGTATACTGCCTATATCTTGGTACGACTGTTAGCATTTTATTTGCAACAAGTGTATACTATTGTAATGAACTTTCCACTTATTTCCATTTGCTGCACTTGGTTTTCATTGTAGAATGGTTTTGGAGAGCACAAAAATAATGTAGCAACCCAGATGCCTGCCCAGAAACACGGCTGTTCAAGTCTCTAGCTGCAGAAAATGCCTGAGTGTGTTGCTGCAATGGGAGAGTGGCAGATACTACTGCGTGAGATGTGAGCAGGTGGATGATCTGCTCAGCCTGATGGCATAGCTCAAGGAGAAGGTGGAGAGATTAAGGAGCATCAGGGAGTGGTGAGCAGGAGGTAGACTGGTGGAGCAACTCCCTGCCTTACCTACAAGAACGGCACTGGGGTGATACACCCCAAGTAGTGGTGGACCTCCTGCCTTGTCACCGTCAGGCAAAGGAAGGGGCCTAAGAGATGGGGAGGAATGGAAGCAGGTCTCAGCGTGGCATCGCAGGCAAACTCCCTCCCTGCCTATCCTGCCTTTCCAGATGCCCCTATGTAATAGGTTTGAGGCTTTGGAACTCGAGGGACAGGTAAATGAGGAAGCAGTGGAAGGTCCACCCCAGATGTTGTGTAGGAAGAGGCAATCCACTCCATGCCTCAAGACTGCCTCCACCGAGAAGGAAAGAATGGTAACTGCTGTAGGTGGCACCTTTCTGAGGGGAATGGAGGGCCCCATGTGTAGGTCAGAGCCTACTGTAGGGCAGTGTGCTGCTTCCCTGGGGCCTGGGTCAGAGACCTTACCAGAAAACTTCCTGGTCTGGTTTGCCCCTCTAGTTATTACCCTTTTCTGATAGTTCACACTGGCAGCAATGAAATCACTGAAGCTGTCAGAAGGAGCTTCAGTGAATTAGGATGGTTAGTGGGTGGAGTGGGAGTACGGGTGGTGTCTCCTCTATCCCGTTACGTGGCAGGCTAACTATGACTTGGTTGCCTTTACTGAAGCATGGTGGGATCATTGCCACAACTGGAGTGCTGCAGTGAATGGCTGTAAGCTCTTCAGAAGGGATAGGCAAGGAACGAGGGTGGCTGTCTTTGTTGGAGAATGTTTCAGTGTTGTTGAGCTTGCAGCTGGCAATGATAAGGTCGAGTCCCTGTGGGCAAGGATCAAGGAGAAGGGAAATAGGAATGACATCCTGGTGGGGATCTGTTACAGACGACCAGGATGAAGAGACAGACAAGGCGTTCTCTGGGCAGCTGGCAGAAGTGCAATCATCAGCCCTTGTTCTCGTGGGGGACTTCAACTTCCCTGACAGATGCTGGAAATTTAATAGAGCCCAGAGGAAGCAGGCTAGAAGGTTTGTGGAGTCTGTGGAAGATACAGTTTCCTGATGTAGCTGGTATGTGTGTTTACTAGAGCAGGTTCATGACCAGCAGGTCATGAACAGAGAAGGACTGGTGGGAGATGTGGAGGTCAGGAGCTGTTGGGCAGAGCCACCATGAAATGGCAGACTTCTCTATTCGTGGTGAAGTTGGGGGACCCGACTGGTGAAACTGCTACTCTGGACTTCTGGAGGGTGGACTTTGAACTATTCAGGACACTGGTAGGGAAAGTCCCTTGGAAGTTCATCCTGGACGGTAAATGAGTCCAGGAAGGCTGTACGCTCCTCAGGAAGGAAGTCGTACAGGTGCAGGAGCAGGCTGTCCCCCTGTGCTGTAAGATGACTCAGAGGAGAAGTCTGGCATGGATGAACGGGGAGCTTTAGGTGAGACTCTGGGAAAATAGGAGAGTTTCTCCTGTGGCAACTCAGGGAGAGTACAGAGAAGTTGCTAGCTTATGCAGGGGACTGAGAGAGCTGATGGAGGTGATTGTCAAGCCTCTTCGCAATCTGTCAGTGCTCAACCAGAGAAGTCTCAGATAACTGAAGACTTGCTAATGTGATGTGCATCTGTAAGTAGGATCATAAGGAGGATCTGGAGACTACAGTCCTGTCAGGTCGACCTCATAACCAGGAAGGTTATGGAACAGATCATCTTGAGGGCGATCATGTGGCATGTATAGGATGACCAGGGGATTACACCCAGCCAGCATGGGTTCATGAAAGGTAAAGAAGAGACTCAGGGGAGACTTTATAGCTCTCTACAACTCCCTGAAAGAAGATTGTGATGAGGTAGGGGTGAACCTCTTCTCCCAGGTAACAGCAGTAATTCAAGAAGGAACAGCCTCAAGTGGCACCAGGGGAGGTTCAGATTGGATAATAAGAAGAATTTTTTCTCTGAAAGAGTGGTTAAGCATTGGAACAGGCTGCCCAGGCAAGTGATGGAGTCAGTGTCCATGGAGGTGTCTGTGGAAGGGGTTGTGTAGTACTTAGGGACACAGTTTAGGGGGAACATTGGTGGTAGGTGGTGGATGGACTAGATGATCTTTTCCAATCTTAATGATTCTGTGATTCCTCATGGATGAAATGAGCAGGGAAATGTGCTCCAGGAATGCACCTTATGACTTCAAGCCATTGAAGGCATTCAGTTCATCCAGCCAGCTGAACCTAGTCTGAAGTAAAACTCCTGTCCTGGATGGTGTAGATGTGAAGCTATCCATGCCAGTTCTTCTACTGTGCTGATGCACGTGCTACAGCACTGTGCCATTGGTAAGCTCACTGCTAGCCACTGGAATTTAGTGAACAACAATCCTGTATTCTACAGCACTTCTCTTTTCTTTAGAGAACAGTCACTTCCTTAAGGGAATGATTAAAATGCCTGGTGCCATGTATGAAAAACTTGTGCATTCTAAATCTGCACTTCAATCTGTTCCTCTTATATGTGTGCTTTACAAGTGCATGTCAAAATCGCCTTTTTAATAGCCACTAGGAAGAAATAACTTCTTTAATGATTTTTTAATTATTATTTTTTAATTCTTGACAACAGTATGAAATTGGAGGGATACTTGATTCAAATTCTTAACTAAATTCAGCTTTGGAAGTCATATGAGTAGAAATGATTGCGGAGGTCACCAGAATATCTTCTGTTTGTGAATAAATTAATCTGAAACTCTTTGAAGGGTATTTAACAGGATGCAGATATTCCAATATACTGGCACAATGCATTCATTTTAATATGCTATCATTTTCAAATTGCAATGATTTAGCAGAAATAGGGGATTTTGGAAAAACCTCCTGAAAAGATCAATTCTCAACACATCGCCATCTGCTTTCTTTGAAAGATTGCAAGCTGCTCAGGGTCATTCTGGCTGTGCTGCCAAATCTGTTCTTATTTAAAATAATGGCAAAGATGTTTTTGGCTGCCGAGGAAGGAGAATTATCACAGTGGCACAGTAGTATCCTTTTGCAGCCAAACCTGCTGACCTACAACACCAGCTCTAAGTGACCACTGAATTTTGGAAAAATAGGTATATTTGCTTTAGGCAGGTTGTGGCTCTCCCAACAGCAAATTCTTTTGGGAGTCTTTGTTAATACCGTGACTTTGTTACCACGCTGTGTCATAGCAAAGTGGTTTTATGAATAAACTGTGACTCCATTTCCTGGAGATAAGAGCAGGTTATCGCTGCAAGAAATGGTTAACCCTACTTGGATGCACGAACAATTTAAGTTATAAGCATTAGTGGGTGATGTTAATTGAGTCTAGAAGTTTGTCTGATCCAGAGCAGAAGCAAATAAACCAAGTTTAACATACTTTCCTTTGTTAGAATAGATTTTTAATACTTTACACAGAATCACACGTTCGTAGGGGTTGGAAGGGACCTCCAGAGATCATCGAGTCCAACCCCCCTGCCAAAGCAGGCAAATGTTCTGTAAATGTTTAATGTTCTGACAGATGCAATTAACTGGTATGTATTATTCTCATATAGCTATTTTCCTTCATCATGTTACTCCTTTTGAAGTAGGTCTGTCACAGTGGTACATCCTTATATTTAATTTCCATGGACTGTACATTATCACTGTTTTATTCCAGTGTAAGCGGGTCTATTTAAACTGTATAGTTTAACTACAGATCAATAAATTGTGAAATATTAATGAAAATCAATCAACCACAGTCTTAACATTCCTGAAAGAAGCTGGCAGGATAGTTGCAGTTGCTCACTATGACCATAATTCCAAAAATATGCTAAATTCTCTAGCATCAGAAATAAGTTCATGTTTTCAAGCTCTCTGTCATGAAGAAAATAACACAAGAAGACTTTTCTTTAAATCTGAGGTCATTAAGCAAATTAAATTACAATCAATTTTAGTCATATGTACACCATAGTTTATGGCAGAGAAGGAGAAAGAGACTTTCTTAAAATACTCTCTAGAAATAATGGCTGGAATTTCTAGGCTGGGACTAAGACTAGTCTTTATCACTTCCTTTAAGAAAATTGATATTTTTAGTAGTTTTTTAATGTTAATATCTTTATCATGAACAACTCCCAGTTACTGTCGTAGACTGCAAGCCTTATCTCTGGGGTTGAGCAAAGAGCAAAGGTAGTCTCATTTTGGAGTGAAACCCAGAGATGAAACAGAAAGGAGGCTTCTGAAATGCTTCACTTGATGCTGATCTAATTATAAGGATATTCAACTGTTAGTACTCACAAGCATGTCTGCTGCGCTGGAAATTGTTGGTTTCCTTTTGTGTTTGGTTGGATGGGCCTTTATTGGAGGTACCTTGCCACACAGTTACTGGAGAGTCTCCAGTTTACACGGCAGTGTAATCACAGCATCTACGTTGTATGAAAACCTGTGGAAGAGCTGCGCAGAAGACAGCACTGGAGTATCCAACTGCAAGCAGTTTGGCTCTCTGTTAGCTCTGCCTGGTATGTGACTTTGCATGGTCTTGTTACGCTGCTTAAGAATTGCTGGGAAAAAGTAGCAAGATTTTTGTTTTGGTAATCTGGTTGTAATGGAAAATAACGCTGACTTCCTAACAGAACAGATTTTGCGGGTTAAAGCAATACAAAGCTTTGAGTGGCACTGTATATGGAACGCATAAGGAAAGGCTGTAAAAAAAAGGCAGGCACATATCTGACAGCTTCATATCTATGTGGAATTACTGCATGGGCATGCTTTTGCAACAGTCAATAGCCAATGTTATCTGGAGGTTTTTTTCATAAAGTAGCTGTCAATACCAGTTTTTTTTTATCCAGAGAGAGGGTAGTGGTTTTTCCCTGCTGAGATTGAAAACTGTGTACAATGGAACAAGTACAGCAAGTATATTGTTTAAATTAACTTACATGTTAGAAATTAGTAACTACTTGTTGGATGTGATTCTAAATATCAGGAAATTCAGGTCTGCTGTCTTTGTACTGCCTATCAGCCTGCAGCAGAATTGTAGCACGTCCTCAGGTGTTGAATTAAGGCACTATCTGCAGATAGTGAGCATGCTTATAGACAGTGAAGTTAGTTGTTACCCATCTTGAATACTTCAGATTTATCCCAGATAAAAATGTCTTCCTAACTAGTTGAATCTACGCTGCGAGGAGGGTAAACGAAATAGAAAGGAAGATACTCCTGATCTGACAGATGTGGAACATGGGACCAGTGGGAATAAGGCACTGAACTTTTTTCTCAGTCTGAAATTATTGACCAATTCTGAAACAAGCATAGCAGTCCTGTGAAGCTGTCTGTGCCCATTTTAGGGGATTTTCTGTTATTCTTATAATTCTAATAGCTACCTAACAATCCTTCTAACAAGTTGTTATCTGACAGTTGGCTTTAAAATGCACGTGTATATTAAGAGGAATGTAACATCCTACATAACTCGTTAGAATCACCAGTAGCAGAATAGCCTTCCTCAGCAGAATGCTTATGTGAGTTGTGTGCTTGGTTCATTTATAACCCTCTTAAAGGGCTGGTTCTTAACTTACTGTCCCTGAGTCTGTACAGCATCTCATCATGGATGTATTTACACGTGTTGTTGTCTCTCTGTAGAGCTGCCTTGTGTGGATGTGGGCAGCAGGGCCACATCAGGTCAGGATCTCGGAGCTGCTGATGACAAAGTAGGTTTTAAAGCCATCTGAGGGAAGCAGAAAAGAGCAGAAAAGAGTGTTGTGAGTGCTAAAGCCAAAGAGAAGGAAAGGAAGAAAGCTCTTGGAGAGTTACTAAGAACAACGTGGTGTAAGCAAGAGGGAAAACAGGGTGAGATGGAAAGTAAATTAATAGGCCAGACTCTGCAAATGAGGTTGTGAAGATCAGATTTGATCCACTGAAGAGATCAGTTACTCAGTTGAGCAGATGACGATATACTTGAGGGGTAACTATGGGAAGAGGGAAGAGACAAAGCAGCTTGCAGAACTGAGAAAAACTGAGAAGAAAAGCTTTAAGGAGAGGATAACTGAAAAAGAAACAAGTTAGAAGCCACAGAATGGGAGAAAAAGATGAGAGGACAGTTGGGCAAAGAAAATGGGAGTGTCAGTAAGGGCAAATAGTGGGACCTTCAAGAAAGGCTTGTAGCCCTCATGGGTATGAGCCAGAGCATGGTTAGTTTAGGTGTGTATGAGAAACTTATGCAGTTCAGACCCTAATTATGCACTGTTAGAGCCAAGCCCATCAGACTTGTGACACCTGGCACGTTTATCTCATTTAAAAGGTGCTAAAGTGTCATTTGAACCAGAACCTACTAAATTCAGGCTGCCATTTCAAAGAGCCTGAAGTCCCTGTCTGACCTTCCTTGATAGGCTGGTTAATAACTGGTCCCAGTTATTGAGTGATTGATACCTAAGTGCAAAAACTGGGAGCTTAAATGATGCAAAGTTGTCAGCAGAAACAGAAAGAAAGCTTTGAATATGTTTCAGTAGCTGATCACAGACTCTCTAACATACTCTCACCAGCTAAACTCTCTGCAAAAAAATATCTTCAGCAGGAGAGGAGAGCTGCAGATCTTGGACCAGCTCATCCTCTGCTCATTACCCATTCAATTTAAAGCATCAGAAAGTATACTGCTAACCCCAGCACCTGCTTTTTCCATCTCTGGCTGGAAGTAGCAAAGTAGTCTCTGTCCAGGATATTTTCCCAGTCTTGGTTGGGATCTGGAGTTCAGAGGTGTCCTGTGCATTCGGGTCTGTAGGTAAAAGGAAATCATCAGAACCAACAGGCTGGAGATGTGTACCTGCACCTGCAAGTGATCTTGTCTACTGCAACATGTTTTCACAGGACTGAAGGATGTGAGCTGTGAAGTGTTTGCTATGCTTTTGGGGTTTACTCAAGCTCCTAAGAGGATTTACTGAGCCGTAAAGTGTAAGCGTAGTTCAGCTCTGAATTCTGATTGACTGTATACAGCCATCTACGTTTTTGATATTTCTCAGAACTGAATGACAAGGTTGGACAAGATTCATTCATTACTACTTCTATTAATTTTGTCACCGTCTCTGATCTGTTACATTTTGCCAGTGTAGGGTTAATTTCTGTATAGTTCCTTATTTGTTCTCTCTTTATCTGTCTCGCTCAGTCCACGTTCAGGCATGCCGTGCCTTGATGATCATTTCCATCCTTCTGGGATTCATAGCTGCCGTGGTCTCACTGCTTGGTTTAAAGTGCACGAACGTTGGGCTGAGTGATGAGGATGAAAAAATGAAGGTTGCTGTCATGGGAGGATTCCTTTTTATTTTAGGAGGTAATGCTGAGGCTGAAAGAAAAATGCTGTCAGTACTTTGTATTGCTGTCAAATGAGACTAAATGAATTGAACACTACTGCTGGATTAAAGACGTTGAAGGACTCACTCAGCTGAGTGCTTTTTAATATTTTTTTCTGGCAGGTCTCTGTTCGATGGTGGCCGTTTCTTGGTATGCTGCAATGATTACTGCTCAGTTCTTTAACCCGTTATATACTGGAACCAAGTAAGTTAATAAATACGTCACACCAGACTCCAGTATGTGTTGGATGGCAGGATTAGCCTCAGCTGCTCCAGGGTTTCAAAACCTGGATGGATCCCAGTGCGCAGCCCTACAGAAGGGAAAAATTGTCTTCAGGGGAATTTCTCACCTCAGAGATGTTTGCTCTTGATGGGAAGGGTGGAAAGGTCTCCTCTGGAAGGTTTAGTGAATGTGTGGGGTCTGTCAACCCCAGATTTGCCTTGGATTATTGGCACAGAGTATTCTCTCTTGCTGGCAACTCGTGACATTCAATTTGCAAAATACAGAACTGAAGTTAATAATACTGCAGTTCCTAACAAGAAGTGTCTTTTATTTACTTGAGCCAAAATTATTCCTTTCTTCTTGTATCTTTGTCTGCACCCCTGTCTGTCCCCCTGATGATCTGTTTCCTCTGCACATGTACTCTGATGTTACAAAGAAAATTCAAACTTGGATTTAGTGAACAGTGGTAGATTTGCTATCATTTTCAAAGGCCTTCTTACACCTGTACGAAATCTCTTTTTTCTTTTTTTTTTCACAATCCCACCTGTTGAAAAAAACCCACAAAACTATCCTTAGTCCTCAGGTTTTGCATTTAATCCACCTTGCAAAACATAAATCTCTTGTCATCAATGCATGCAGCATCACAGTTCTGTCATATTGGCCCATGGTCTTGGACCTCATCAAGGTTTGTGGCACTGTCATCCCAGGTTGCACACAAACAGCTTCTGAGGTATAAAAACCCTTGGTCTGTTAGAAGCAACAACTTTCAAAACTAAATGTCTGAGGATAACTTACCTTGTTCAAAACTAAGCATCCACTGAGGAAGGCTTATCTTGGTAAATAGACTTATCAATGAAGAGCAAGTGTGGGGTTGGTGACTGGGCATCTCCTTTGGGGAGAGAGAGAAAAAGGGAGAGCAAAACAAATAATAGATTGCCTGAGGAACATGAGAGAGCTGCTTTGAGGAAGAATCATAGAAACCTTAGAGTTGGGAGGGACCTTTAAAGGCCACGTGGTCCAACTGCCCTGCACTGCACAGGGACACCACAGCTGGATCAGGTTGCCCAGGGCCTGATCAGCCTGGCCTTGAAAGTCTCCATGGATGGGGCATCCACCACATCTCTGGGCAACCTGTGCCAGTGCCTCACCACTCTCACTGTGCTTCCTTATATCTAACCTAAATCTCCCCTCTTGGAGCTTGAAGAGGAGAAATTTATTATTTGCTAGCACCTCTACAAAGTATGTCATGTTTAGATCAGTAAACTATAAACCATTAATTCCTAGGATAATATTTGAAGTGCTTCATAGCTTTTCCTCTTGAGGATCAGTTCAGGGATGTAGGATGCGAAGTGCTTCCTAGTGAATCACAGTACCTGAAGCAATTGCTCTCCTTATGTTTCCAAACAAGCACTTCCAAAGAAATCACACTTGTAAGATTTTTTTGCTTTATGTGCCCTTGAGAGCATTATCTGAAAAGTAATAAATATGTGTGAGGACCAAAAAAAAAAAAAAAAAAAAAAAAAAGGAATGGTTAGGAATTGCAAAACAATTTGCAGAACAATTTGTAGAACAGCCATCAAGTTTCGTAGTTACGTTATAGTTGTTATAGTTGCTGGGCTTCAACATCAGTTTGTGTTAATCAGTTACCAGATTGTTTGCATTTGGTAGCTGAATATTTTTTTGTATCTAAACTTCCTATTTAAGACTATCAGTTTACTGAAGAGTTCTAAGGGAATTAACTTTGATTGTTGGTAAAGCTCTGTTTACCCATGCTCTGTTCTCTTCAGGAAGTTCATCCTCCTTGGGCTGCGTGAAAGGGGTTTAATTTCAACTACAGGGCAGTATTAATCTTCAGTCTTAAGAAGGTGGAAAATCTGCTCTTTGGATTGCTTTTTTTTGGTCTGACTTCAGCCAGTTAGTAAAATTAACCTCTACTAATTCTTAGAGGAATTTCTCATATAGATGTGAAAGGAAACCTGAATCATCACCTGGATACATCCTATATATGCTTTCCTTTGTATGATGTGTGCAACATTCCTGGTTTCAGACAGCTAGTGATCAGAGACCATTGCTTGCACAAGTCAGCACTCTTCTATTCTTCCTTAGTATTCCAGCTTCCCCCCCAACCTTTTGTTTGTTTGCTTGTTTCGAGATGATGATCATCTCTCTCTTCTGTTGCATAATCTCTGAAACACTGCAGACCAGAGCACTGCTTGGGGTTCCAGTGTGCAATGGGAACACCCCAGAACTTCCTGGTTCTGGAGTCAGAAACAAACACTTTTAAATAATGATTTGATATTTACAAACAGAAAGGATATCCACATATCTGGTTTCAGTATACCTTCTGTTTGGTCCATGACAGTTATTTTGCCCTTATACTGGCCATGCCACTGACATTACTTTGCCATTGCTATCTATCATAAGTAGCAGCTAACCAGAGAAATCAGTTTTCTATGGACATAACACTGGACCACCTGTAAGCAGCTGTTTGTATAGAATTTGTTCTTCTTTTTTAGTAGGACAGCTGGAAAAAGGCTATGGTTTATTAGGCAGTCTCATAACAAACTTACATGTCCTAAAGAATATTCAGCACTCTCTGTGGTTCTGTGTGTCTGAACTACATTTAGGAACAGTCCCAGAATGAAAAAGGGTAGCTCTCCATTTTACTGTACAGAAAGAGACTCTTCAGAAAATCCCTCCATCCAGCCCTGGAAATTCATGGATAAAGAGTTTGACTCAAAGACTAGGTGTGTCTGAGCCTGGGAAAGGCAGTCAGGAGTTTCCCTATGAAAGAAGTGTTTATAACACAGTGCACAACACATTGGTACCTCTGTCATCTGAGATCACAGAATGATGGAATGGTTTGGGTTTGAAGGGACCTTTAAGATCACCTAGTTCAAGTCCCCTGCTATAGGCAGGGACACTTCTCTCTAGATGCTTGATATATATGACAGAATTCCTTTCTTGGCTACTTCTGTCACATTTGTGCACTCCACCCAAATACTGGCTAGGGGGTAATTCTTAGTGTTCTTCAGTATTTGGGCACCTTCATCCAGGTGGAGACTGAAGAGGAGGGTCTGATGGAGAAAGCTGGTGAGTCACATGAATGACCAGACCACCGATATAGAATTCAGCATACATAAAGGAGCATGCATGTAACTTTCCTTTTTCCCTTTCTATCTCAAATTCTTCGTACCCATTGCTCTATTGGATTCAGTGTTAAAATTCATCATCTCTCTATTATCAGCAACTTATTAAATGTTTGCAACTATTTATTGCTACTTATTATGTTGCTTAGTGCTTTTTGTTGTGCACTGATTGACAGAGCACTTGAATATGCTCATAAGAGTTCTACTGAGCAGACACAAAAATAGATCTGTTCTCCCCTGTAATCTACCAAGGTACCTTTCAGATAGCTGACATCTATCCAGAATGGAATTTGTTTGGATGATTTGTGTGCTTTATAGCTCATTCTAAAGTAATGGCTTTGTGATCTTGTTATATGCATAAAATCTTTCGTTTCAGATATGAACTAGGAGATGCTCTGTACTTAGGCTGGGCTGGATCTGTTCTTTGTATGCTTGGTGGGATCTTCCTAACCTGTTCATGCAAAGGGAAGGAAAAACAGAAATACAGGTAATCTTGAACATGGCAGTTCAAATAGTAACTGTCTGTTATGTATCATTTTCTGTTCTCTCTTTCACCTTGGTTTGAATCTGCAGCAAAATAAACAGGAAACTCTACCTATTGAATCAGTGCTCTGGAATGTCACAGACTTGTGATGGGTGGTGATGCTGTACCAGGCACTGATGTCTCCCAATACTGAATTTGTTGGTAATTGGCTGCAGTCAGCAGTCACCTATAACTAGGCTTCGGTAATTCTGATGGTGCTTCTGAGATCAGTGTAAGGACAGTGTGCAGTGAAAGAGCAAACTATGTTTTGCCAAAAGAAAAGTGTGTACTGTAATTAAGATCTTCTGTAATATTCACCACTATTAAAATGCTCAAACCCCATTTATTATGAAGAAAATGTAGTGGCATTTTCTTCCCCAAATTGACTGCTAGAAGCATGTGATGTTTCCTTGTTTCTTGTGGAACATTTTACAACCAATATGTTGAGTGTGCATCAAAACAAAAAAATCAAAGTTCCTGGCCTCCATATTTAACCTTGCCTGCATTTCTCCCTAGTCTTTAATTTTTTACACATACCAAAGGTCCCTTTCTCAAGGAGAGGGATCGGATTGCCAGAAATAGCAGAAGTCCTTGTCTACATAGAAGATCCCAAACAGCTTCAAGGAAAGCTACTGTCAGGCTTGAGAGGATTGTAGGACAGAAGAGAGAAGCATGCTGAATTCACTCTTAGGAAAGTTATGTCAAAACATCTAGTAATTGAGAGTTCTTCTGATATTCCCTTGCTTAATCTGAAGCCACTGACCTTTTATGGCAATATTTTATCAGCCAAGTTGGACTTTAGATTTGACTTTGTATCTTACTGACACAAAGTACCACATATCCTGAAATATCCCGAAAAATCAGGAAAAACTGATGGAGGCAAGAGAAGTTCAACGTGATGGACGACAGCTGAAGGGGTTAGGCTGAAGATGGTTCTGTTTTCTTGTAATTCTGATTCCTGTATTAAAAACTGCAACTTGCACGAAGGCATTAAAATCTATATACTGTTGTGCTTTAGATGCTTGACCTAAGTGCCTCCAGGAAAGGCACAGGTGAGTAAGGAACTCAGAGCTGGTTCCTGGCTAAGAGAAAGGTGGTTGTGCCACCTGGTGAGAACAATAGGCCTTTAATAGCTGCACCCCTGGGAAGCACATGCTATCAGTGCATTGGATACAGACCTAAATGAGTAATGTCCTAATTGCCTGAAGCTATGGCTGTGTGTGTAATGCCTATTTTTTAAATCTTTTTTTCTTAATTTACAGTGCCAACAAATACAGATATTCAGCAGGCCAGGCAGCTGGTCAGCAGCAAATTTACACCACAAATGCTGAGCCAAGTTCCAAGGAGTATGTCTAAACTTACATTTTCACATCACTTGTAACGTTACGAGGTTTTGAACTTACATTTAAAAAAAAAAGAAAAAAAAAAGGTCTCCTTCCAGGGATTCATTCTATGTTGCAATCTTTCATCTTAATTCGGAGATGATCTACATCTGGATGCCTCCTTCTGGAAATGGCTTTGAAGTAGAAATAGGTTTCTGCAGATGGGATGTGAAATCCTGCAGCATGACGGCTGTCTGCGTGCTGAGAAGTCCGGTAAAATTTAAGCACAGAGCATGGGATACCCTGATAAGTGAGACCATCTTTTTCTATTTCAGCTAACTAAACAATGTGGAACTGGTATGCTGTAGCTGCCTGTGGGCTAATACAGCTCACTGTTAGAAATGGTTTTACTTTCATTCGTGTTGGGAACTTCAGCTTGTAACAGTAAATAAGCTTTATTCTGCTGACTGACTAGAACAGACTTTCTGATGCATAGTATCCTGGCCATTAATGAAGACATAGTCTATATACTGGGGGTTTGAAATCCAGGTCTCATGGTGTACTGAAATACATATTATGTATGTAGTCAAGATTTGTAAAAGCTTCAGAAGTCCCGTAAAAACAATCCCTCACTGCGTATCCATGGATGTGCAACAAGTTCCTTGTTGGTTTGGTTGTAGCTATGAAAATTAAATGCTACAGAACAAACCAAACACAGCTGGGAGCAAGGAAAGCAATTGGTCAGACTATGCCTCGAGGTAACTAGAAGATAGCACCAGTTTTTATTTTTTCTTTCTATCTTTCCAGCTTCTAAAATAATTGTATTTTAATTTTTGGCAGTCTTTTACTTCTGGAGCATCTATTGCATCTGAATTGCCTAATTCAAGTAATTCCGCAGTGGCTTTGTTCTCTGTCATGGTTCCAGCATTAGAATTAATGCCATAAACTGCTCCACTACTGGGAGCATATGTTACCTTATGTAAGTACTTAAGACACTGAATATGAGCTAATTTTTCTTAATATTGATGTCTTGAGCAACGTGAAATAGAATTTCACTCTGCAGGTTCACAGTTCTTTGTCATTAAATTATGAATTTGTTAATTCATAATTTAATAAACAAAATACTTTGGTATTTCTATACTTTGTTGTGTCAAACCATGACTGTAGCCTGAATGAGAAACCTCATGCATCTTCCTTAGCTTGTCCTTCCTTGTCTGTCCAAACAGATGCATTCATTGGGGCAATCTGCAAATGCTCGGAGCAGTTTAGTCACTTTGTTTCCATGATACTGCAGATACTGCTGACTTGTAAAGTGACACTTCAAGGAATGAATTTGGCCACTGACGGATCTTAATAAACTTAATAAATTAAATCAAAAGGAGTGACAGTGGCTTTTAGGTTGCCACTGTCATCTTTGTTCCTCAATAACCAAGTCTTTCTCATAAAATCACAGAATCACAGAATCACACGGGTTGGAAGAGACCTCAAGGATCATGAATCTCCAACCCCCTGCCACATGCAGGGCCACCAACCTCCACATTTAATACCAGCCCAGGCTGCCCAGGGCCCCATCCAACCTGGCCTTGAACACCTCCAGGGATGGGGCATCCACAACCTCTCTGGGCAGCTGTTCCAGCACCTCACCACTCTCTCTGTAAAGAATTTCCCCCTGACATCCAACCTAAATCTCCCTTCCCTCAGCTTAAAACCATTTCCCCTTGTCCTGCAGTTATCTACCCTTTCAAAGAGTTAATTCCCCTCCTGTCTGTAGGCTCCCTTTAGCTATTGAAATGCTGCGATGAGCTCACCCCACAGCCTTCTTTTCTCCAGGCTGAACAAGCCCAAAATCACCCCTTTGGAATATTAGAGAATAATTTCAGAAGCAGAGGAGCCATTTAGCTTGCATGGTGGGAGCTGAGCTCTTTATAATCACCTGAATGTTCTGTGCTGTGTCTTTTTCTGTAAACCTGTGCTGGTTTCTTGGTCTAGTTGAAAGTAAGAACAATTCAGAATTTATGCAGAGCAGTTGGTGTGTCAGAACTCAGAGCTTCCATGGTCTTGCATCAGCTCTTCCAGCAACATCACTGGGAAACCAAGTGTAAAATCCCTTGTTTGTTCATTCAGTGCATCATTGCCACAGTCAGCGTTACTGAGGGGATACAAATGCTATTACCTGTTTGTGTCCTTCTGACAATTGGGTGTTTCTACTGTTTTTCCCTGATTATCTGCTCCTTTCCCGAGCACCATCATCAGCCATCTTCTCAATGAATGTAAGGAGCCATCCACTCAGTGTAGCAAGTAAGCCATTTTATATAGGCGATATATACTGTCATTTTTTTTTTCTACTTCAGCTATAGCAAGCTGCTTAAATACACCAATGTGTGGAGGTGTTTTAAAGTGAGTTCAGTTCTCTGCTTAGCAGATCAGACTGCTTTGGTATTTTCAGATCTTCTTCGTATCTCTGTAGCTGAGACCAAAACCCTGTGTTGGGTTCTGCTACTGGTCTGGCAGCCTTCACCGCCTAGGAAAAAGGAGAGATGTTACAGAAGCAATGGAAGTTATCATGCAAACTGATTTCTTCTTCTTAGGCTTTTGAGAAGATTTATTTTGGTTTTGATTTTGTTACGGAATAATAAATGGATGTTTTTGATGACCTCACTCTGTGCTTGCATATGTTCCTTGTTATGCAATGGATTCGTGGACAAGACATGAAAAGGAGATGTTGGGTTTGCTGGAAATGTGGATGTCTCTTACAAAGACGGTGAAACTCAGTCACATGTCTGAAAGCAGAGCAGTTATCTGTATTACAGACATCACAGTGTGTGTACATATACCAAATGGGTGAAGGCTGAAAGATTGTGAAGCATCTGTTTATTTGTCCTATTAGACAAGCATCCTAATGAAGGTGAGATGCTATTATTTGTAGCTAGCTAGCCTCTAGCTGTTTAGCAGGCCTAACAGATGGTGTTTCTTTGCTACATTAGGCTGTCACACAGATGATATGCACGCAACAGCTTTAGAGCAAATCCTGCAACATGACTTCTGCAAATGCTCCTTTTATTTTCACTGATCTGCTTCACATCTCTGTCTTTAGCTCCATTTCTCATGAATAAGCAAGTGGTAGGGGAAATGTTCATAAACAACCCTGAATGCATCTGTTGCTACCAGTGCTTAAAACCTATTTGGATCTGTAAGTCTGTTTGTCCCCTAAAGCCGATATTGCAGATTTATTTTTCCAAGTGGGGGGTGAAAAAAAATGTATGGTTGAAATTTATTCAAATATCGAGTGTCTAAATAATTGATCATAAACAGGGGAGAGCACCAAGGCACCTGCGAGATGTGAGAAATCCTAGAATCACTGAGGTTGGAAAAGACCTGTAAGATCACCAAGTCCAACAGCTGACCCCAGTGCCACATCCGCACAGATCGTAACACCCCAGGAATGGTGACTCCGCCACCTCCCCACGCCGATGCCTGCCCGTTCTTTATCCTGACCTCCACCCTGAGCCACTGCTCCTGTAAGCATCGCATGCAGTGCCCAAAAGCGTCACTGTGGGTGTAAATGCAGTACCTCGAAGGCGTCCTTGAGCGGGAGGTTTCTGTGTCTCATCAGGTACGCGGTGCAGATAGCGGCGGATCTGCTGCGGCCGTTCTTGCAGTACACCAGGCACTTCCCGCCGCTCCTGACAGCTTCTTCTATGGCGTCGCTGCACCGCTCAAAGTAGCGGTACAGGTCCTCAGCCGGGTCGTCGAACACAGGCACGCGCATGCCTCGGGCCTGCTGGAAGCTGGGGAAGGGCTGCTGCCTGGTGACATTCACACAGAACGTGACCCCCTCTCGCGCGAGCAGCTCCGCGTTGCAGGCCGTCCTGGCGTTGCTGATGAGCAGCGAGGCGGTCACTTTGCCCACTGCAGTGCTGCTGGCCGAGGGCGCGGTGTGCCCGGCACCCGCAGCGCTCTGCCTGCCGCCTCCCAGCAGCATGGACGGCTTCAGCCCGCAGCCCTGCTGTGCTATATTTAGTCCCTCCGTGCAGGCTCAGGGTGAGGGATGCAGGCGGGTCCTAGTGCCTGCTGTGCTGCGAGAGCTGCGTTCCTACGAAGCTAAAACCGGCGTCAGGTTGAGTTCAAAACAATTGGATGCGTGCCGCCCCTATTCCTGTAACAGTTCCTTACAAAAAGGTAAGAGTCCTCCTAGCAGGGAACGCTGCTGCCACCAGCGGTGCCTTGTGGGGCTGAGACCAGCATCCCTTGGCCCTCACCGGCACCACACTCCTCTGAGCACCCAAACTGCCCCAGGTGCAGCTGGATGCAGCAGCACAGCCCTTGCTGCACATCAGCACAGGTGTGGCTGTGGAGCTGTGGAGGTGTTACCTCCTGGTGGCGGTGATGTTACCTCCTGGTGGCGGTGATGTTACCCCCCATGGAGGCGTATGTTACCCCCCAGTGGAGGCGTTGCCTCCCGGTGCAGGGTCAGGGCTTCCGTGCACGGCCAAGCACTGATGGGCACAGGAGGTGCCAGGGTTGATCTGCCCCCGTGTCCCCACACTGAGCATTGCCTTGCCTTGTGAGCACACCCCTGCCTAGTGGTGAGGCAGCCAGGAGCCCGAGGCTGAAATCTGCTGATGGCACAAAGATGAGCCTGGATCATGGCAGTGGGATGACATGGGCTGGTAGAACTAGCATGAAGTAGAAAACCAGAAAGTAAGACTGCATGGCTGCATGCATGGTGCAAAGGCATATTTTTATTTCATAGCAGAGAGCTAAGAAGCCAACCTGCACACACGTGCCATCACACAGCCAACAGCAGCATGCCAGTGACCCCAGCCCCACTGTGAGGGCAGCAGCTGGCACGGGCACAGGGCCGAGCATCCCACCCGCCTGCTGGATCGCCTCATCCTGTCACTGCCTTCGTCCCAGGCTCTGGGTGCCTGGCTGCAGGAAGGCCCTCGTGGCAAGGGAGGTGCCTTTCAGCCTGGGGGCCTGGGTTGGAAAGGAGAAAATGTGTCAGGGGAATGCAGCCATGACACTGCCCAGCCCAGTGACAGCTGAGAGAGCCATAGTGCTGCCCAGACATCCCAGGCACACAGCACCCACCTGGCAGTCAGCAATGCCCCCCGGGACTGTGCTCCTGGCTGCGCCATGCTGAGCTGGAGGAGGCTCTGCTGCTTGAGGGCGCCTCCCTGCAGGCCTCTGGCCCTGCTTCCAGGCACACCCTGTGCACAGCGCGTTGGTTAGGAGCCTTCGTGTGAACACTGCCAGGGCTCTACTTATCAGATGTGAACAGGTTGGTTCCCCCCAGCATGGAAGGGCGCTGGCTGCTACATTACCGTCCTTGTCCCGCGCTGCCTTCTCTTGCCTGCCTTTCATGGGTTTCCTTGTGCCCCCGAGTGCCATGTGATGAACACACTGCACTTCAAACCTGCATGCAAGAAGGCACTGGTGTGACGTGAAGTAGCACAGGTCCTGTCCAGAACTCATTTGCTCCCAGTGCCACTTCAGCCATCCATCAAGCAGCCCCAGGGCCACCCTGGGCCTGGCAGCACACAGCAGCACAGCCAGCAGCCCTGCATGTGTACAATGAGCTCTGCCCCAGCGGAGGCTGCGTGCCAGGGGTGTGTGAAGCAGCCCCCTCCCACAGCCTAGTGTGAAGTGGGCACTGGGAGCAGCGCCTTCCAATGAAGCTGCCCCGAGCAGGGTCAGAACAGGGCTGTGGGCACCCACACTCACTCTGGAAAGACGATGACGCAGCCTGAGCGTGTCAGGGAAGCAGGAGCTGCTGAGTGAGGGATCGCTGAGCTCGGCACCCCTGGGACCTGCAAGAAAGGCACAGAGCTGGGGGGCGGCAGGGCTGGAGAGGGGAGCTCTGTGGTGAGCTCCTGTCCACATCAGCCCATCCTAATGAGTGGGCGCTGTGTGAGCACGGAGTGGTGTTTGCTGAGCTGGAGCCCAGCCTGAGGGGCTGCCCAGGTCAGGGCTGGCCAAAAACAAGGGCTGGTTGCAGATGCTGGCCTGCAAAGGGAGTGGCACCACTGTGGAGAACCTGAACACTTACTCTCAACAGAACTTCTTTCAAGGTGTCTTCCCCTGCCATCACTTCCAGGAAGTCACAGTAGAATTTCATTTGCACTTGGGCACCTTCGATGAGGAGCATACCAATATCCTTCAGGATGAGTGCGACGTTCCTTCCCTGCGCGATGCAGCGAGAGAAGAGGGACATGGTGGCCTGGATGCACCCCACCACTCTTTTTGGAGACACGAAGGTGGCTGCGGCTATCTGAGTGTACTGCAGCGGCTGCAGTACTTTGTTGCCTGGAAAACCACACAGAAGGGATGGGGCAGCTCCACAGCCACTCGTCAGCAGGCTGCAGCCATGCTGCAGCCCCCGGGCCCTGAGGATGCCTCGCTGCAGCAGGCACAGGGCTGAGCAGCATCTGGAGCCAGCGGTCCTGCAGGTCCCGGGACCTGATCTCTCTGGGCACGTTTGCAGGGGTGCTGGCTGCTGCTGGTGTGGCACACAAAGCCCACTGTGGGACCTGCTCTGCAGTGAGCAGCTTGGTTGTGAGCAGCATCAGTTACTCTCCAACCTGGGAGAGGAAAGTGAGAGGTCTGCTTGCCCAGCCACGCAGTGGGGAATGTGCACCACCCAGCACTGCAAGGAACACGTCCAGAGGACAGCTCACCTGGCACGTATGCCTTGTCATCCTTCAGGTGGTGACCTTCAGCGAGGTTCCAGGCCAGGTGGAAGACAGGTCTCTGCACAGCCAGGTGGCCATCTCCAACCTGCACCCGCTCGAGGATGGTGTCAAAGGAACCAAGGGTGGGAATGCGGATGCCCTATGGGCAGATGAGACCAACAGAGCAGCGAGGTGAGGACAGAGGCTGCCCTGTTGGAAGTGGGGGGGCAAGGAGCTGCCAAGTCCCTTGCTTCCCATGGGATGCCACGGGACTCGGCATCCAAAGGGGTTTCCAACAGCTTGGAGATGTGGCCACACTTGCATAAGGCTTTATTCTCCCTTGGTCGGGTCTCCTGGGCTGAGGACCCTGTTGGCAGGGGCAGATCCTGGTTGGGGGAGAGAAGGGTGCAAGCCCACCTTGTGCTGCAGGAGCTGCTGGCGAACATGGGCAGCCACGGTGTTCCAGACGGCGGCTCTCACTGGGCAGCAAGTGAAGGCCAGGTCACGATCTGCACCCGCAGCCCTGCAGCCCACCCTGGCCATGTGCAGGGACACGGCCGTCCCTCACAAAGAGACATCCCAGTGCGGGGTGCAGCACTGAGTCATGCCCTTGTGGCACTGGGCTGCGTGGGAAGTCTGCCGGGAGCCTGGCATGGCAACACAGCACCAGCAGGTTACAGACATGCTCTTGCAGGTGCCTGCAGAGAGCCTTACCTGCGGCAGTGAAGGGCGGCACCATAGGGCCCCCCCAGCCAGCGTCCCAAAAGACTTTCCGTGGCCATGTTCCCCTGGCATGGTGTTTGCCCACAGGGAGAGACAGCGGGGAGCGCACTCGGGAACCACAGCAGTAGCACCCTGCCTCCCTGTGTCCGCTCCCCATAGTGCAGTGCTGTGCCTTCAGGGGCTGCCCGGGTTGGTGCGGAAGCCGTGACACAACAGGGCCCCTTGTTGCCTTGGCAGGGCCCGGTCCCCTTCCATCTGGGGGCACCACACGTCCCCCACCCTGTGCCTGTCTGGTGGGAGCGGTGAGCCTGTGATGGCTGCTGCTGGACGTGGGGGCCCACGCTGCTTACCCAGGTACAGAGCAGCCCGGTGCTGTGCCCCACTGCTCACAGAGCTTCTGCAGCTCTTGTGCTGCTGCAGGGTTTTCTTCCCACTCTTCCCACCTTTCCCACTGAGCTGTGGCTGCTCGGTACCAAAGCTGTGACCTTTCCTTGAGGGCTAAGAACTCTCCACCAAGCCAATGGCAGCAGCAGCCTGGTGGTTGCTCTGTGTTTGTGGGGCTGACAGTGCGGGGCTGGGACCGCTCACTTCAGCATTAGCAGATGGCATGGCTCCTGCACTGGGGTACCTCACTGTGGGGCTGCGGATGGTCAGCGGGGCTCCAGGGGATGGTATCTGCAGGCAGTTGCCCTGCAGTGGGTCTGTCATGGCAGGAGTGCTATCCCTTCCCACTGCACACTTCGCAATGTTGTAGAGTTAGTTTGGAGGTGTATGGTGTGCAGTGTATTTACAGACCAACAGAGGTGTTTGCAGATGGTTTTAATCCACGCAGAGCTGCAAGTCGCTGTTATTTAAAGTTATCATCAGGCACAGAGGAGGCAGAGGACATGATTGTTCTGCAAATAACTCCAGCAGAAGAGCACTATCTCCACATTTGCCCATACTTATAAAATCTGTGCACGTGGCACCTAGACAGCTGTAACTGCAGGACACTGAGCTGAATAAATACCTACTCAGTTAGAGGGATCACTCATTGTATTAGATGAAAGTGATATTTGCATCTAGGCAGGTAAATTTTGTAGTTTCCAGTTACCAAGTCTCGCTCTGACACTTCAATAGCTGCTTCTGATATGTTGCCTTGACCCTGCATCCAGCCACTTCTAGGAGGGGAAGGTGCAGAGCAGAAGCACAGATCTTTCTGCTAAATCATTCAGACTCCAGCACTCGCTTGGGACGGCACATCCACATCCCTGCGGCGGCCCTGCGTTCAGCTCCACTTCTGTGCTCTGCCAACGGCTGCACTGGTACGTGGCCACTGTAGATAATGAGCCCAACACTTGGCTGTGACACACCAAGGGCATTTCTGATTCTGTTTTGTTATGCAGTGACTTTTTGTGCCTTTCTATGAGAATGTTCAGAATACCTGCTTTGGTGACCTGCAGTCACTATGTCTGGTTTGCACATACACTGCACCCATAAAACCCTAGCTCTTGTTTTACCAAGTTACATGGCATTGCTGGTGAGGGAAACCCATGACTGAGGGTCATCCCTCAGGACTACTGAACTGGCCTTTACCTCTGCCTTAAAAGGGAGGAAGAAACCAAACTCAGCAGAAATGGAGAAGTAATCAAAGTGCCCCGTAAGTACAGATTTGTCTCCAGCCTTTTTATTTATACAAGGATTCAAAGAACATGTTTTAACTTTTTAGATAAACAGTGCAAGAGAGTTACAAGTACCTTGGTAACAGAAAGAAATAGGTAACTGTCCAGCTATGCCAGTAAGTGAAATAATTCTGTCTCCTGCAGATAGAAATGCATCTGTTTTAAAGCAAAGGTGGCCGTGAGATATTTGCTCTGCCTTAGCCCCTCCCAACCCACTGAAAAAAACAGGCAGTTTGTCATCTGCAAATGGTGAGCAGCTGCACTCAGCCCGTGGGGACCTCACCCTAAGTTAGAACGTAACATACGTGTTATGGCACAGAAAAGCAGGCTGAAGGACACAGACCTTTGGGAATCTGCTATTTCTGGTTCTCCCTTTTACAAAGACAGGAGACTTCATTGATACACCTCTATAGACCACAGCTCCGCACCCTGAGGACGAGGCCCTTCCAAACAGACCCAACACCACTCTCACCCTCAAAGGGTTAACTGCTCCTGCTATGTTATTGTTGTACCAGAGCTGAGAGTGTGGACTATCTAACTGTTAAAGCATTAATGGGACACGCTGAACTCTTGGTTAAAGTGTGCTCCTCTCAGAGCCCAGAGGGAGCTGGTTAGTGTGAGAGGCTGACAGCAAACACTCACTTCATGGAGCTGGAAATGATGAAGACTCCTTCCGAAGCTCTACTACACAAAGCACGGATCCTCAGCACTTGTTTTTAAAGCTCCAACACAACCCTTCTTTGAAGCGGCTGCAATGTTTTAGTGCCTTTTCCCCTTTTGCTTTGCTTTGAAACTTTCTGCAGTTGTGGAAATCTACGTAACTGAAGGCTACATTTGTGTTGGCAATTCTAGTTAAAGGAAAAAAAAAAACGACAGGAGCTCTTCTGCACTTCCAGAGCTAAGTAAACCTGTGTAAGCCCATGGCTATTGTTTATCCATGGCTGTACATGGCTGAGCCTCACAGCACTGCCAGGAGCACTGGGCAGGAAGGGCACAGCAGCCCACACCCCCACACTGCCACCCAGCACCAGGCACCCCCTGCCCAGCCCCGGACCTGCAGCTCTGCCTGCAAAGGGACGAGCTCTGCACCAGCTGTTAGCACTGCCTTGCTTATGTTCCGATCCTCTCTTTACAAACTGCTACATGTTAAAAACAAGTTTTGGGCACAGCCAACTGCCACAGGCTGACTGCCAGCAGAGCGCGGCCCTAAGGTAGGGGGTGATGCTGCGTGTGCCCGTGTGAGCTCTCACAAGCAGTCACAGTGCTCTCATCAGTACACAGCCCCTGGTCTTTCTAATAATAAAAAGAAAAAAAAAAAAAAAAAGGCATTCATACCCATGGCTGGAGCCAGACGAGGCAGAGGCAGCACAACTATCTGTCCAGTAAGAAATCCTACTGTGCATACTTTCATCTCTCTGTTACCTTTTATGGTACTGCACTGCAGGTAGAAATTGGACCATTATTACTTGGGTAAAAAATGGCTTTCCAACTAGCATGCAAAGAAAAAATACCCCAAACCCAACCCCTAACACTCATTCCCAGTCACTTAGATGTAGGAGCCCTACATTTAAAAACGTCATCAGCTACGAGCTCTAGTCAAGAAACCCATTTGTGACCTTTCCAAAGAAAAAGGGAGTTCTACATTTTTGGGTCCAACAGTCACTGCCAAATCGTTTCAGTTCAACGCACCACATCTGCTCACACTCCCGTGCACACAGATGGAAGTGAAGGGCCACCTCTGCCTGGTTCAGCAGTACAGAGGGAAACCTTGGAGGAGCCCCTGAATGCAGTGCCTGCACAGTGCAGGCGCGCTCGGTCTCCCCACGTTGCTCTCAGCCCAGCAGCAGCACGTTATGCAGCGCTCTGGCCGGCGGCTGGGTAACAAGATCAGGGGAATTGCATATTCCGCTGCAGGCGGTACGAGAGCTGCCCCTGGAGGGGCTGCCAGGAAGCCTCTCTGCGAGGGCTCAGTTCAGCCCTACAAGCCAGTTTTGTGGCAATAACAAAAGTAAAACAATGAGGTATGGAAAGAAGGGCCCAGCATTGGGGAAGAGACCAAGAAAGAAGAAAACAGCTCGAGCACTGCCAGAAATAGCGAACAACCGAAACCTTTATCTCCTCCCTCTATTTTTTTTTTTTCCTTTTCCTTTTTTTTCTTTTTTTTCTTTTTTTTTTGCCAAGGTGAAGTACGTCTGTCCTTTTGTTGGTTGGTTTTGGCAAAGTGAAGCCCTCGGCCGCAGTCTCTTTCCTGGCTGTCCTGCTGAGTTACCGCCACAAGTGCTGCGCGGCAATGGAAGCCCCCGAAAGGAAGAGGAGGAAGGCAGAAGGCAAAGATCTGCTGCTGGCCCCAATGACGCCGCGTCCGGACTGCTTTGGGATAGCATGCGTTTCTGGCTGTCTGGTGCTGGGGCTCTTAGAAAGTCTTTTGCCACAGACGTCGTCAGGACAGCTGTCACCACTGCCTGAGCCGCTCATGTCGTCACCTGTGCAGAGACAAGAGGGGTGAGCACAGCCTGCCTTGGGGTGCCCACCCTGCCTTCCTGTTGTGCCCTGGCAGGGACAGAGGATGCGCCTGCTGAGAGCAGACAGTTATTGATTCATTTGGACTCCCCAGCCACAATCCTGCAGAGCCTGGCCACCAGCTATGTCCCCCACTATGGGAATGCAAGCCAGGAGCTGATCCCCAACAAACTCAACCACCTGCTGCTGCAGCAGCCATAGGAACATAGGAACAGCTGCCCCATCAGCCAGGCTGGGCTGGAGCTGGGGAAAGCACCTGAGTTTTCAGCTCTAGGCCAAAAGCAGAGCAGCCCCTGAGCATCCTGCAGCAGGTTGGGTGCACCTGAACAGAGCCTCTGCAGCCTGTAGGCAAAAACCAGGTGACCACCACCCCACTGTGCTGCAAGGCCAAATGCACAGCCCCAGCCCAGCTCTGCTACTCACTCGCATCTTGGAAATCCACATCATTCCCGATGTTGGCGTTGCCCAGCCGGTTTGTCATGATCTTCAGCTGCATGATTTGCTGGCGAATGGTCATATCTGGCTTGGTGATGTCCACCTCCACCTCTGGGTTGTTAATCTGATTAGCTAAGCCATCCCCCATCACTTCAGGCAGGTAACTGTGAAGGAAGGTGACAGGCTTACACAACTACCCCCAGCTAAGCTCAGCTCTCCCCAGTACAGATACCAGTGACAGTGCAGCCTCTCTGAAGCGCAGAGAAGCATGGCCAGTGGTGTTGGGTTGTTGAATAGCCCCAGGCAGGGAAAGAGTGCCTGTGCCAGCAAGATGCCGAGCAGCAGGGGCTCTGCAGATGGCCACACCAAGGATGCAGGGGGCACAGCCTGTGCAGGAAGGCTCTTGTATTGACATAGGTGGCTCTAGGGATGGCCAAGCTCTGCTGTCACGGTCAGAATCAGAGTCTGGGGCTCATCCTCAGGCCACCTCAGCTTCTGGGAGGTGCAGCATCACTAGCCCAGTGTGGGAAGAGGTTTGCTGCTCTAGGGCCATGTGCAAGGCTGAGAGATTTCTCTCAGGCTGGTACCCATAGAGCTACAGCGATGTTCCACTCACTGTGGAAAAACTCTGTCCATACAGGATGCTGAGGAGCACCTACTGCTGTTACTGCTGCAGCAGAACAACAACAGGATTGAAATTCCCAGGCACCGGTTTCAGAGGAAAAGCAGCGTTTCTCTGAACAGGGGCAGACCGTTCCCCTCAGTCTGAGTGAGCAGAGGTGGCTGATGAAGCGTAACTGCCTTTTATTAAGCCCTACCACTCCCACCACCCTACAGCAGTGCTCTCCTGGCACCATGACCCTCTCCATACCTGCCCTTGGTCATCCCATTCCAACACTTGTCATCCGCTGCTGAGCTGGCCATTACTTTTTTGCTGCACAGGACTCCGGGCAGGGTGACCCAGTAAGACTTGAGAGCTGTCAGATTCCCTTTGGCATCCAAAACCTATGAACAAAGATGATGCTCAGGGCCAGAACAGCTCTGGGTCATCCCAGGGCTGTGGAAAGGACTCTGACTTTTTCCTCTTACCATCATACAGTCTGAATTTATGCAGAAAGGAAGTGTCACCAACTTTCCCCTGAAGACCAACCCTCAACCCAAGCGCTCAGGGCTGAAGAATACATGCTAATGATTGTTCTGGTACTGTGGGGATGACAAGGAGAAGATCCTTTACTGGAAGATAAGGGCAATGCTGGGAAGCAACCTCAGTGGGAACCAGCAGAGGTCTGTTAGGGTGGGACAGAGGACTGTAGGGCCTCTGAAATGCCAGGCCATGAGCACATCATGCAGTCCATCATCTACAGAGTCCAAAACCTCCACAGAGGAACACGTGCTCATGGAACAACAAAGTCTCAGGTGCCAGGAACACAGAGATTGCCCACCCCAGAGACAGGGACCTCACGTCCCACTGCCCTGGCTGGATGCACTGTGCACACATGGCCAGCCTGGTGCACTAGCAGCAGAGCAGCTGTGGAGGCAAACTCACCAGCATCTCCAGTGACACTGCAGAGTATTTGGCTTCTAATGTGACCTTCCCCCGCCTCTTCTTGTCCTCACTGCTGGAGCCTTTTGTGCTGATTTTGGGATTTCCACAGCCTTGGAAAACCTGAAAAACAAACCAAATTCTCTATGCCATGCTTTGATACTATTTCCTTAATTCATTTGGACTCCACAAGTTATTTTTTTCTTAATATGTGTATCTTTCCCAATTGCAAGATCTCCCAGAGTCTGGTTTAGTTTCTGGTCAGGTTACTCTTGTTCCAAGACTCGTTTTCAACATACTGTAACTGTTTTTGATTACTGCTACCATGCAAAATGCTCAGCACAAACACAAAATTAGAATGTTTTTGGATGAGTCACTAATGTTGATATTAAATTACAGCTAGCAATTTTATCTGCCCCTATTATGATTTAAAAATAAAATTCTGGGAAGTCTGAGAAGAATAAGATGGGAATTGCTCACAGTCACTACATCAGTGATGGGGGCTTTGTAACTACAGCTTCCCTGATAAGAACAATAAACAGAGGGGGGACTACCCCAATGACTCCCATGATGGGCAAACACACTCCAGCAAATGATTACCCTCCGACCAGGAGAGCACTAAGTGAGTGGATATCTCAAGAGCTGTCAGGTTGGATGTTTCAAGGCCAAATGAGGATGCTAGGCAGATTTATCTTCTAACTTTGGGTATTTCCTGTTCCTGTCACCTACCTACCAGCCAGGCAGCCTTTGTAGCTGAGGGAAGGCAGCAGACTGGACTAGGCCTGGGCTTCAAGGATATGCCCTACGAGGAGCTACTAAAGGAACTGGGGCTGTTTAGTCTGGGGAAGAGGAGGCTGAGGGGAGACCTTATTGCTCTCTTCAAATACCTGAAAGGTGATTGCAGCAAGAGGGATTGGTCTCTTCTCACCGGTGACACGTGACAGGACGAGGGGAAATGGCCTTAAGTTGTGCCAGGGGAGGTTTAGTTTGGATATCAGGAAAAACTTCTTTACAGAAAGGGTTGTTAAGCACTGGAATAGGCTCCCCAGGGAGGTGGTTGAGTCACCGTCCCTGGATGTGTTTAAAAACCGTCTGGATGTGGTGCTCAGGGAGTGATTTAGCAGAGGGCTGTTAGAGTTAGGGTAGTGTGGTCAGATTGCAGTTGGACTTGATGATCTTTAAGGTCTTTTCCAACCTGAGCAGTTCTATGATTCTGTGATTCATCTGACAGTGATACTCCACCACATCACTGTGCTGCGCTCAAACCAGAGCTTGCAGCTGCAGTAATATGCAGCTCCGAACATCCGCTACCAGTGCCACATTCTCCTGGCCACTAGATCTTACTGAGAACTTTATCAAGTAAGTTTTGTTTTTCCAGTCAAACACTGGAAAAACAACACTAGACTATACTAGACTATTTAATCTCTTTTGATTTTACCAGACATTCTATATGTCCCTTGGAAACATCCTTCTTTTCAGATGATGCCATCATGGACTTACTTTTATGCGTACAATTTCTTCCAACCTAACACTGAGAGAAAGAATATAGTCTTTCATGTTAGAAAATAAACCTAAAAGAGTACTTGGATACACACTCCCATTAGTGCTGTGACTTGTGCTAGTGAATTCCTGCTTGGTTAAGCAATACTTTTCTTCCTTCTCCTCTCCAAGATCCAGTTAGGGCCTGCCACACACCTTTCATCTGCATCTTAGCCCTAACTGCAGGATAGCGGCAGGGCTCAGGGAACGCCTGGGCAGAATCAGAAACCCTGGAGGCTCTCTCACCTGCAGCTATAGAAGTGATTGTGATTAATTGGATAAATACAGAAAAACATAGAAGACCACCAGAAAAAAAAATATTCATAATACATTTCTTGAAAGACAGGTGGACATCAGGAGAGCCCCTCCAGATGGACTGCTAAACTGCAGCTCTGTCCCACAGAATGGTGTTTCTATCACAGATCATCATCCCAAGGCAGGCTGAAGCAGCTGCCTTCTGTTGCTACTGTAAGAAGGACTGTGCACTTCCTCTAAATGCCCCAGCTCAGTCAGAATAGTTCAAGGCTCTTCAGAGACACCTGACAGCAAATACACCCTGTCGCCCACAATCATTGCACATGCAGTCCCACCTGCGTGTCTCTACCTAAGGAAAGCTGGCTGTGGCAGAGGAGCATTTGGAAATACCTGAGAAGGTTTTTGTCTACCTAAGACAGTGCTTTCCTATCATTAAAAGAGTGTGCATCATCTCTCTTCTTTCATCTCCTTTACTCAATTCAACAACAAAAAAACATTTGATCTAGGCAATTACACATGGTGTATCCTCAGGCCCAGGCACATGCTCTTACCTTGGCTGTGATTGAATCTTTGTTTTCTTGTAAGTTAGAAATAGCTTCAGAGATCCTCATGTGAATAGTCCCTATTACTGTGTCTACATTGTACGGTCCATCAATCCGATCAGCCACAGCGACCAGGGCATCTGGTAAAATAACAGAGACATCCTTTCATCAGACAAAGCTTGTTAAAGCTCTGCTCATGCTGGGTGGGATACACAGTTGGCCTCTTGGAAGACTTGCGGGAGGATCTCTCTCCATTTTCACTGCTGTTCAAACTATGCTCATTTTCCTCCAGAATGGCACAGCTGTCTAAAGGGTGGATGGGGTGCCGAAGGATGGGAGCAACAGCTTCTGTGGCAGTGAAAGAGCAAGAAAAAGGAAATACCATGTACTAAAGGCAAAAGAGCAGGCTGTGAAGCCCACAATTAAACTGCTCAGTGGGACTGAGTGTGACTGAGGGCATGCCTGTTGCTCTCAGTTCCCCTTATCTTGAAAAGCTCTGTTCTCCAAGTGCTCCTGCCTGACCTGGAGGTGCCTGCCAGCATGGGTGTTTTGGGTCTGTGCTTGGCTTACCAAAAAAATAGCCTCTGCCTATGGAGAAGATTTTCAGCACTCTGTGGGTCTGAAGTAAAGACAGACTGTCTGCACACAGGTCATGGGGCACTGGAAAATGCTACACAGAGGAAGGCTTGGTGTCCAGCCAGAGTTAAGCAGGAGCTTTGGACAGGTCTCAAACGCCTAAATTAGGATTGTAACTAGGGCTGACTTGTCAGTCAAAAAAGCTACTGCTGAGCTGCTGCTGCCTCAGTTTTCTATCATTTCTGTTCCAGTATCCTGAAAGCCAGGCCATGTGTAAGCCTCATCAGAATTTAAGGACTTGGCAGCTTCTTGAGACCTCAGATGGCTCCCGTGTGGTCTTGCATTCCCCAGGACACACCAAATGCTTCCTGGCAGGACAAGAGATGTGGCAGAGAGCAGGGGTGGCCCTCACTCATCTAGAACAGAAAGTACTTCATGTCTCTGCAGCTTCTCCATATGGAAGAAAACACCTGTGATGGCTTCATGTTGATTTTCCTTCTCTGCACAGAGGGTCAAATCCCAGGGTCCAGGCTGAAAAACCACATCTTTCGTAAATGAACTCATTCTTTAGCAGTGATTTTTATCCTAGATCTTAATACCTTCTCCATCAGGCTGGCAGGAGACTGTCACAGCAGATGGTGTGATGTTGCAGAAAGCTTATTCAGCACACGTTCATTCTGCTGATATTCATAAGCAAGGAAACCACCAAGAGAGTTGTGCCCAGCAGTTCAACAGGGCATCAGTAGAACACATCCTTCTTCCTACACCATCCCATAGCATGTAGTGCCACCTGTGATACTGCTTTAAAGCACTAAGCTGCACAGAGGCAGGGGCACAAATGGGGACCACCATCACTTCAAACATGCATTCAATCCCTTGTCTGAGTAAAGCAGTAGGACTCGGCAGGAAGGCCCCAAATGTTTTCCACGAGGTCCTGTAGATGTTGTGCAGAGGCACTATGTCCACAGTGGAAGCATTATGTTAACAAGGATGGCCTGATCCTGAGCCCACTGCTGTTAATGCATGCACAGCCCTCAAAAATATGTTCTCTTTGCTACTGCATGGTTAATGTTCAGGTCCTGACTGCTTCCACAGAATGACCAACCTGGGAAAGTACTAGAAGGGGACAGCACAAATCCACAGAAGATACCAGATCATGTTCACACAGCTCACAGCCTGTGCTCTGGTCTGTACTATAGGATTTAACAGTGTGCACAGTCACAGCCTGGAAATGTTATGTATTTACTTTCAGCACTTAAAAAAATATAAAGGTTTTGCTCATTAGCTTGAGCAAGAATGGAAACAGGGGCTGTGTTTCTGAGTTCATGTGCTCTTTTTTCCCGCAGTCCTGATTTAATACCATTAAAAAGTGCTACTGGGCAGGCTAACAGAGAGTTAGCACTGATTTCTAAAGCTAAACATGCCATATGAGTCGATAATGTTTTTGTTTTCTGGGAAATAACATCTCCTGTAACATCAGAGAGCTTGCAGTTCAACTTTGCTGCCACTGAGGGGTTGCAGTGTCATCTACAAGACTACATTTTCAGGCAATTATAGCCTGCAGATGCACAAATGTTGAGATGGAGATATTTAGATCAAAGTCTGCATCCCCAAATTAGTGATAAGTTATATTTGACCACTTTCTATAAATATCTTTAGTTTGACTTACTCTGATTTGTCAAACTGAAAGAGAAACTCTGTTGTCACCAAGTCCTCTCCAGCTACATGGAAGGGCTTAAAGGTAAAGCATGGACAATGCCAGGGAACTTCTGCCTCTTCCTGCATGTTTTGCTCCAGCCCTTGATCAAACGATGACCTCTGGCAGTAAAACATACAGCCACAATTTAAAGAAAGCTCCAGTTTCCTCCCAGCCAACACCTCCTGACAAGATCAGTGTCTCTTGGCCAAGAGGAACCCTCAATAACTGCAGAATGCAATCCTGTCAAGCCATGGGAGCGGCGTGCTGACCTTTCAGGAGCTGGGCAGTCACCCTGCCAGGAGAGCAGTGACAGCTAACAGTTGGCTTGCTGTGGTCAGAGAGGACAAAGCTTCATCAAAACCCTGGTGTAAACCCTTGGGGAAGGGAATATTCCCCCCCCTCTTCTGTAGCAGGCTGCCAATGGCAAGTACATCCAATTAGCCACAGCACACCGCCACTCGGTTCGTTAGCTCCTGGCAAGAGGCAGGCAGCTGGCCAATGCACTCTCTGAGCACCAGCCTCTGAGTGCAGCACTGAGATCCTCATTTGGCAGTGCCCCCTGAGAGGGAGGCTACACTGCAGTGGGGTTTTTGATGTTAGCACTCCAACCAAAATGTACAACCTGGGAGAGAAACAGGAGCTTTCTGGGCATCCAAAGAGAAGTGGAGAGCTTTCCTAATGCAAGCAGCCTCGCCTGACAGACTGCAGCAGGGGAGAGGCTGAGCTGTAACACCCTCACACTATTTTCCACATGCTGGCCCTCACCAGCCTTACACCACACTCTCAGTCACACTGCAAGCCACTCTCAGCAGCTGTTCACATTCCAACCAGTGGCCACAGCCTCTGGAGAAACAGCGGAATGATACACGACGTCCTACAAGAGATGCCCAGGTCTGACTGGGCGATGCAGAACTGCCTACAGAACTGCCTGGTAGAAGCTCTCTGCTCTGCGTTGCACAGGGTAGCAGACCATATCACTGCAGTGATACTTCTGGCTTTCAGCTCAAGGAAATGGACACCTCTACACACATACAGCCCACTTCAAGAAGTACCCACCGTCTTAGCTGAGTGAAAAAATGAAAATGTGAAATGAGTGAAAAAGTGAAATGAGCTCTCTTCTCAGTTTAAATACAAGCCTAATTTTCCCATTCCTCATGTGACCTGTAACCTCTCCCTCCCATGTATTTGCTTTCCATTCAGAAGTATGCAATTCTGATCCCTTTGCTCTCCACCCATGGAAAAAGTTTATGGCTTCATGTTTCTAGACCACGTTCCAGGGAGGGCTGCCAGGGATTCCCATGTGCTCACACATGCTGCAGTGTGGATGAAGCAGCAGAACCTGTCCCTAAGCCTCAGCCTTTGGGAGGAGAGGACAGATGACACAAATGCAATGTGTGGGCAGCACCAGGTGAGGATGGGGAAGATGGAAACACCCGAACCCTCTGTTAGCCTGCCCAGTAGCACTTTCTAATGGTATTAAAGCCCAGAAGAACATCCTGCAATAGATTCTAGACTTCGGATCGCAGGCAGAGAAATAGTGGTGTTAAAGAGCCTCCTTCAGCTCTTCCAGTGGTCCCTTCTGTACTCTCCAAAGGACTCAGAGAGTTCGCAAGGTGCCATGAGGCAGTGAGGAGCCACCTTACCCATCAGGTACTTCCACTCGGTGTTCAGGTCAGCTTGGTTGGCCAGGCAGCCCTTCACCACGTTCAGGCAGTAGTTGCTGCACGGCCTCACACTGGCCATGCCCCGGCAGTGCGGGCAGTACATCAGCTTCATGACAGCGCGGGTGCATTCGTGGCTGAGGGACACCTGGGGAGACAGAGCAGAGTCAGAAACACGGGCAGTTGAGTGGGCCTGGCCCCTCGGCATGCCCTGAAAGGCAGGTGGCTGTGCCACCTTAAAACAAACCATCCCATGAGGCAGAGTGCAGGGATGCCATGCAGGGCCCCAGCCTCTGCAGCACAGAGGTCCCCATGGAGGTGCTGATGGAGCTCACTGCTCCTCTGTCTTGTCACTAAGTGCATCCTCCTCTTTCCTTCTTTGCTTGCATCCATTTCCAATTCTCTAATCATTCTTTCAAAATCATTTACAAAAAGAAATATCAAGTGTCTGGATGCAAGCCTTGGCTAGTACCAAGCAGTTGTCACTGCTCCAGAGGGAAACAAACCGAAAATGCCTGACCCTCCAGCTGCTGCTGCAGCCCTGAGACTTGCCCCTCATCTCTTCACTGATAGTGAAAAATACCTTGAATACAGTCTTGTACATTTCTTCTGAAGGAAGAAGAAATTCTGAAAAGAAAGATTCACTTCTGGCCTTAAGACAACAAATCCCTCAGACACAGCTATGCACACCCCTGGCCTGGTGACTGGTGGCACTGTGTGGCCTTTTGGAGTGCTGGAAGCCGGGCTACTTTGCTTTGAAAGCAGGAGCATGGAGTTGCCATAATGCCACTCTGTCACTCTTGCAGGTGGCTCTCCCTGCAGGCAGACAGCCATGGGATGCTCAGTGCCCAGTGAGGTGGCAATCACTGCTTGCTCACGCCCTGCAGCCTGCCCTTGGACCTGCAGTTGGCATCTCCATGCACCAAACTGAGCCTGGCAGGGGCCAAGCATTCAGTCTCCTACCAGAGAGAATATTGATTTTCTCTAAGGAAGAGAGTAGGCTCCTCTCCTTTTCTCCAAGGAATTATCCACACCACCTGTTTGCAGCAGTGCTCCCTTTGCACAGGCAGACTGCAGAGATGAGCAGAAAGCAGAGGAACAAGAGGGCGAAGGAGCAATGTCATAGAGCGTTCTATGCCCATTTCACTTGGCAGAGCTCAGCTCCCCACTGTCCCACCCAGCCTGGCTCTGGGCTTCTGCACAGAGCAGAGGGAAGGCCCCCAGAGCTCCTCCCTGCAGGGCACTGATCCTGCACTGTCCTGCTGGAGGTCTGGGAGCACATGCAGGAACAGAGTCCTTCCAACACCTCCTTAGTCCTTGCTGAAGCAAACACTTCACGCTTACCAAGCATCGCACAGCTTGGAACACAGGTACCAGAGCTCACCTTACAGAGATGCAATTTTCAGCTGCATCGACTGTGTAATGCCCTTGATTCCCCATGCTGACATGGAGACTTGACTTTAGCTTTAATGGCACCTATAGTCCTGCCTTAGCTCAGTGACATAGAAACTGCATAAAGATGTCAAGAAGAAATGCACGATGCATTGGAGAAGCCGTTTACCCAGGACCCAAAAAAAGAATATTACTGAGAGATGTGGCTCAGAGCCAAGGCACTCCTCATTCAGCTTCCAGGGGTATAAATAAACATGCCAAACAAAGCCAAGCCCAACCTAAAAATACTTTATTTCTATGTCACTGCTCAGTTAAAATCTGCATACTCTGTTCTGATCCCAGCGACATCAGTGGGAGCTGTCCTTGAAAGTGCAAATCCAGTGATGAAGCGATAAGGAAAAAATGTTATCTTCTAAAAAATACCCCAAGTGGGGGACAACTTGGTCTTGAGCAATGAATCATTTTAATTAAAGCTACTCTACAGCTGGAGATGCAGTAGCTGATTGGAGCAGCAATGAGCTAATGTAACGGGAACAGGTGGCTGCGGCACACAAAGCCCCGTGCCACCACCAGCACTGACACTGCAAGGAGGCTGTCGTCAGGTATTATCCCGTGACTGCGCCTTGCATCAGCAGCCGAGCTCTGTGCTTTTCCATGGCTGCTTTCCAAAGCCTGATGTGCCCATGCACGGCTGATGGAGCCACCCAGCCAGCTGCCAATTGCTGGAGGCAAGCACTTGGCCAGAGCAGAAAACAGCCTCCTGTGTGCATGTCGGGAGCGGGAGGGGAGCTGACGGGTCTGCAGGGCTCAGGGCAGCGCAGTGCAGCTGGGACTGACCGCGTGCTGTGAGACACCAGCGCCCGCAGAGGGGCCAGCGGGGAATGAGCACACGTGGAGATAATACGAGGGAGAACTGAGAGCACACGTAGTTCTCGGCATTCAGACCGGTATTTGTTTCCCTCAATTTTCCCCCCTCCTGAGCAATGTTTAAATCAATTACAGTAAAATTAATGACTTTTGCAAGCGATTTGCTGAGAGGATGGGCTGGGGGATTAGTCCCAAGCTGGGTTCCTTGCAACCACCCCAGACAATTTAGAAAACATTCAGCCTACAAGGCTTCTAACCAAGAAGGCTCCTGCCAAGCAGCTCATTAATATGCTTCCAAAGCAAAGACTCACAGAAATGCAGGAGTTGAAGGATAAACAGTCACCCATTCCATCTGCCTGCATTAAGACATGTGCAGGGAGAACAAAGCTATCTGATTATCTAAAGCATGAGTTCAGAATGAACTTCTAAAATGAAGACATGGGGGAGGCAGAGCATGGAATGGGAAGAGCAGCTCAGGCACATGAGGCTGTCCTGCCCAGGCATGTGGGAACTGAAGGCACCTGAGTGTGGACATGCCGTGGGCTCCAGTCTCCATAGTGCAAGCCAATTATTTTTGACAGAATTGTCTGGAAAGTCCAAAGAACTAAGTTTGGGATGCAAAGAGCACGGTTGTGGGGACTAGTGACGAAGAGGCGCCGGTAACTGCGATAAGCTCTGCATTGTAACATCCAGGGGGTTGAGGGCATCTTTGATGACCCTCCTCCCCTGCCCAACTCTGGAGGAAGGCTGAGCTGTAGGAAGCCACAGGCATCTGGCAGAGCAGCACCGAACTCCTATGGGACAGTGTGTGCAGCAGGTCAGGCCCCACAGCACAGATGTGTGTGCCTGCTCAGAGGTCCCTGGCTGCTCTGCACCCACACCCTGCAGCCAAGCTACAGATGCTGCCTTTGAAATGTTGGCTTAGATCAAGGGAAAGGAAAAAAACAAAAACCACTCCACCCAAATCCTTTCTCCTTTTGAAGCCTCCCTTGAAAGCAAATGAGAACCTACAGCCTAGCTGCAATGTGATGGGGCTCCTTGGCGTTCAGGGGCCTTTAAGTGCATCTGAAAGGCATTTAACACCAACAGAACAAGTGGAGCTCTCGCTGCTCTGTTCCTATCCCTGCTCCTCCTGCACGTTCATCCCCAGGCTGCTGTGAGCCATCTGTGCTTTGCGCCCCTGGGAGCCAGGGGAGGTGCAGGGAGGGCTCTGGGAACAGGAGGCCAGCTGAGGAAGGGAAAGGCCAGGCCAGTCCGTAAGGCCTGGCCGAGGCACTGCAGTTCTGCGGGCTGTCTCTGCTCTGGAGTTCCCCAAGAGCTCCCTGCTCGGAGCAGCTCAGGCCCTGCCTCCTGCCTGCCCCTCCAGTTGGCGCAAGGACAGCAGGGCACTGCAGGACCTGACAGCGCGCGGGGATCCCTGAGATGAGGACAAAATGCCTGTGTCAAATGTACATCAGATTGGGCCTGCATATATTCACAGGTAGATTTTTCCGCTCTGAACGTCTTACTGTCTGGATGGCCGTTTTAAGCCCCAGCATCACCAGTTAAACCAGCACTGTCACACAGCTCACATTTCCGAGCCAAGTGATGCTTTCTTAAAGCCTGCAGGTCAGGGCAGCTCTTTGCACCGCCGCTGTGAGAAAACACAGCAGATCTGCAGTTTGCTGCTATCCTTGTGCACCTTTTATTTTCACGTTTCATCTTCACGGTCTCTCCGAGGAAGGATCCTCAAAGCACTGTGATCAAAGGAACAGGGGGGGCTGTGATTTCCAACCCCAGGTGTGAACTGCACATCACGGCCCTGGCTTCGAGCACGGACAGGGCTGTGAGCACCCGGAGCGTGTGGCCAGCAGCTGCCTTGTGCACATTTGTGCCAGTCCTGCTGCAATTAGCACCTTGGTGTGTGTTAAACAAACCAAGACTTCCCATCTTTCCAAGTAAAACTCTAAAAGAAACAGCTGCGGGGCTGATGGAAATGCGATGCTTTCAAAGTCTAATGAATTGTATAATCACTGCAGTCATTATTTTGCATATTCCTTATAGAAATGCATGGCAGTGAGTTCATGGAGCACAGTGGGTTCTAAGCCTCACCAAGCCCATCATTTAAGATGCATCAGTCATGTTTCCAAAACCTCTTTTGAGGGACCTGAAAACAAGCCATGGCTTTTGGATGCAGCGGTAGGCACAGACGACCTGCAGCCAGCAGCCCTCCTGCTTCTTCCTCACTGCGCTCAGCTCAGTGCAGGGTGATGTACAGAGGACAAAGGCTGGTGCCAAAGATGTGTCCTTCGTGCTCCAGCGGTCCAGAGTCGGTGCTAAGCCTGAGGACAGACAGACTGCCTGGCTCCATCCCTGCCTGGGACAGATGCGAAGCCAGCCCGGCGGCCAAATGAGCATTGCAGGCTCAGAAAAAAAAATAAAAGAAATAAATGAAAGCTGGTGCACCCCTACCAACCTCAGGCAGCACAGTGGGCAGCAGCAACAGCCCGGCAGCCAGCAGCACAGTGCCTGCAGCGGGCAGTGCCAATGTCAGAGGCAGCACAGCCTGCAGGGATAGCAGAGGACAGGGCCTTGGGAGGTCATGGGACTTTGTGTCCTTGTTCAGTGCCACCTGCCTCCAGATGATAAAGGAAGGCTGACGTGCTCTCCCTCTGTGGGGAGATGTTGCCAGACACCACTGTCCCTCCTCTGTTCATCTGATGCACTGATTTCCAGCTGGCACAATTTTCAGTCCCTTGAAAACCTGATTCAATTGCCTTTTAACCAGCAGGTAAATAAATAAGTATCTATTTGCATGCGCTATTTATATTATATTCTGAATACTTACAGGCTTTTTGCGGACAGAAATACTAGAAAGAAATACCTGAAAAAAAAACCATAAAGAGCCAT